TCAGCCTAAGCAATCTCCATGTAAATCTCAAAAACAGATGATATTCTTCTTGCTGTGGCCACACCAATCTTTCAGCACAAACAAAGCTGAGCTCACACCCAGCCACCCCCTCAGAAAATCCCAGACTTCTCCATTTTCCACTCACACCCTAAACAAATTATTCAGATGGTGATGTGGACACACATCTTCTGATACTTGTCCACCAATGGATTTGCTCAAGGGCATAATGCATTTGATGCAGCTGAAACCAAAAAACACAGAACCCTGGACTGATTCCTGTGCTCTGACAACTCTCTTTATTTCTTCCCCAATTAGGTTACATTTTCAAATGCCACCTAACACACAGAGCAACATGCCTACCCACCCCATTTTTTCTTACCCTAGCTATGGTTCTGGGCTTGGTAGATAAATTCTTCTAATCTTTAATCTGGGACCTGCCCATTGAAGCGAAATGAATCAATTGATGTACTGACAACTTATGAGATGCTCTGTGGTACCAAGGTCTTAAGACAGACTCCCTGGGCTTAACAGAAGGCCATCAATGTCTCAAGTCTCTTGCATGATCCTGAATGTAACTAACTTTACACAGGTCATAAGAAATACTGCCTTCTTTAAAAAGAGTAATTCCTTTCACAATAAATGAGGCTAAAGATCGCAGTAACTAAATACAAGCTGAAGATGAACTACAGAGTAAAGATGCAATGGTTTTGACTTTCCCACCCCTCCATGATGCATAGAAATGGCCTCAAAATAAATTTTTAAAAGTCCTCCCATCCCCCATTTCTGACTTCCATAGACTAGAAATTTCATTCCATAGCTTATTAGCCATAGGCCTCTTCTAAGTTTTAGATTTAAAAATAGAGGGTTAATGTGCCACGATCCAGTTTATTTCAGAAAAGAAGAGACAATGAAACTGGCAAGTTCTCTGGGTACCTTTGTTCTCTAGTGCTGGCAGTCTCTCCAGTTCTGCTGAATATAAAGGCCAGTGAAATCAGGCTAGAGCACTGGAATAAGAAATAAGTTTCAAGTAGTAGAGACAGAGAAACAAGCAGCATAAGTAGAAGGTGGGCTCTTTAGGGATAGCAGTGAAAGTCATGATTAGTTATATGTTGAAGCCCAAAGAAATTCACCAATATTAGGAAGCTGAGAATAATATTTTTTGAATGTTAAGATATGCACATGAAAATAACTTAATTAGTGTGTGCTTTGTCTGCTCACCTTGCATAACGATTTGTACTTGAGCAAGATTTTGCTGTACAAGATTGAATACAATTTTGATTTTTACCCTTGCCTAGTACTGGTTTCTCTAACCCTTAACAGAGTGTGGGGAGGAGGAAGGTGAAAGGGGGAAGAAGGCTGATTTCCATCATCCCACCTATATCTTTCAGTTTATTATTCAGAGGTATGTAACATGCACTGACTTTTATTCCAAGGAATAGGTCTTGCTCCGAGGTTCTAAGATATCAACAAATATCCATGAGATTCAAAATTAGACTTTCATTGCAAAAATCTAGTCTATTTTATGTAAATGGATACTCCAATATCCTGTCAAAACCAACCCTGCCAATATAATCTTGCCCTAAACCCTCCTCACAACCCAAGAATTTTAATAAGGTATCTCCAAATCTTACTTGTGATCGTCTAAAGTACTAGCAGCAATGAATGACTAAAAACAATTCTGTTGGCAGCAAGACACTTAAAATATTGGGACAAATCCTACATTACTTGTACTGATTTAACGTTAGTTTCTTTGATTATTCTTTTATCACAGATCTCCCTCTCTCTCATCCTTGATAATTAAGGCATAGAACAAATGCTTTCTGCTACTTGCATTTCTCATGATCTTTTCCAGTTATCACAGTGCACCTTCTTTTATTATTCTTTTGTATTTTATACCTAATCTTAGACCCCAATCCTGCTCACGCCCTTGGAAAGTTCAGGTGTTATGGTTTAAAAACTGTATAGGCTCGGACAGAAGCGGCCACCTCATAGCATGTACCACAAGTAGCCAGTGTGTTTGTATAGGAGCCATGGGTGCCAAATGAAAGACAGCATCAGCAATGGGAGTCAGGGTGACACTCAGAGTGGGCAGGGATTTTGGGGGAGTGGTGGCTTGAGGTTTTGACCCTGTGAGGGCAAGTACCACCGAATTTAGTATTGCCACTTCCTGGTGCCAACAGGAACTGGCAGCTCTGGGAGACAGTGGTGGGTGATTAGCGTGGCACTGTTGCAGACTCTGGACTTAACTCATACCATACTTGCCCAAAAAGACTGGCTATCAAACGGGTTAGGGAACAGGTCTTTTAACTCTCTGGTACTACATAATCACAAAGCCACATTTAGAAGTTAACTACCAAGTTGATATTTCTTTCTGTATAGTTTATTCAGTTTTCACCAAGACCTTTGAAGCTGTTGCTGTGTTATTTGAAAAGGTGTGTATAACTGCCATAAACATAGTGAACGCTGAGCAGTAAAGCATCTGTGATACCTCTTTTTCCTTTGTTCAAATAAGACAGCATATCTGATTTATGACAGTGCAAAGAGTATCCCCTTGGGCATTAAGTGAAGTTTTGACAGGCACATGAAGTGTTAACAGTATCGTGCCAAGGTGCTCCTCTTCAGTGAGTGTTCGTTTATTATACATAACAACTTGGAACAATTTGCAAAACCTAAAGTCAAGCAATCTGAAGTCTAAAACCAAGCAGTGTTGCCTGATGGATCCCAGTTCACACAACTGTTCAAGTCCTTTAATATACACCTCACCCATATCTAGCTCAATTTATGCAGGTTTTCATGACAACTTGTGCAGGAAGAGTGAAACTGGCCTGACTCTATGAACATCTCAGAATATTAGCAGGGCTCTATTACCATTTTGGGATTTACTTAAATAATAATAATAAAAAATACTGAGAAGTATATTTCCACTTAAAAAAAATAAAAAGAGAGTTGCTCCATCTATTAATGGCAGAAAAATCCTTTAAATTTTACAAAGTAATCTATGGAAATTCATTACTTTTAATCCATGTACTCACCCTCAATCATGTAATATAATACATCAAGAAGGGGCATAATCTGACTATTTTATATTACTGGACTCATCGGCTTTGAGTCTTGAAGAACTAGGGCTGGAAGGGATTTCCAGAAGTCATCTAGTCCAACTCGCTGCTTGAGGAAGGGGCATCCCTATCCACACCATCCCATACAACCATAATTTAAGCTCTATGTAAGACTGACATCAATCACCAGCGTAGAACTAACACCCTAACCTGCCACAGGTAAAGCAGGTGAACCACAGCAACCAACATCCTGCTTCTATGAAACGTTGTCAATATAAGCTCAAGAGGTCCCGGGTAGAGGTGATGCCTCCTGCTACAGAAGAAAGCAAAAACTCTCGCAGTCCGTATCAATCTGACCATGGGGCGAAATTCCTTCCTGACCCCAAATACAGGGTCGATGTGACCCTGAGCCGAGGGGCAAGATCACACTAGAGAAATTCCCCTGCACTTGCTGAACCAGAACCATTAGTGAAGAGGTTTAAACGCACATGCAGCCCAGGACCAACTCTGCTCTACACCAATTCAGAAGCCACGATTGTGCTGCATATTCTGTGTCCTTCCCTGCACTTGCTGGTCCCTGGTCTCAGCACGATTTTGGCTGCACCTGCTGCTGACACCCATTACCAACAGCTCATTTTCCCCTGGCCTACGCCAGCTTTTATATCTCTACTGAGATCCAAAGTAGATCTTCCCTACTGTCAAGGTAAATGAGCTGCAAAGGTCAGCGTGAAGACAGAAACAGCTTTTGGATGCCCCAATCAAATTTACAAAGTTAAAAATGGATGTACTTCAGAACCCACGAACGCTCCCTGGGAAGCTCACATGCTGCCAGAAACAAAATAGCAGCCGTCATCCGCAACATAAACAATGAGCCTATCTAATGCCAAATCCAGCTCTATTGATCTTTAAACCAATAATGAAGCCAGATGACTAGTTTACAAACTCTGGCAGTCAAACTGTTGGATGAAGTTACAAAAAGCAAAACAACAAAACCCAAAGTGCTAACATTGCTCGGTGCCTCTGACAGGCCGAACGCAGGCAGAGCCGGCTGCGTGGTACCCGTGCGCAGTCCTGCAAGCACCGTGTAAAATCTACACAGGTTACCAGGAAAACAAAACAAGTTAGTGTTGAGACACAGCTCTTTATCCGATAATCCCACTATTATCCACTCAGCTTTACTTCCCTGCCTTGCTGTTTTAAATCTGGCTTTTAATAGTGTTTGATCAGGGGTTCTTAGATCAGGTTAGGTCTGGCCTCGCGGGCCGGGATTCAGCACCGTACCAAGGCTCCTGGCGGCGCCGGGTGAACTTTTAGTATTGGACCTCTTTTGGCTGGAGATAATGATGATAATAATATTAAAAATCACCATTTTTGGGTACCGTCTGTCCAGGCCACCCGATTTGCCCATGCTGGGGGTGGTCCACGGGGCAGACTGAGCCACAGATACCAGATCCAGCACCCGCGACGCCCGCTCTGTGGCCCTTGCCACGCAGGGACCCTCCACACAAGAGGCTTTACCGCGCAGCGGAGTAATTTGCTGCGCACTAAAGCGACACCCTCTACACGTGCTTGGCAGTGAGGGCGCAGCAGACAAATGAACCGTGCTGCCCGCCAGATACAAGCGGTATCCAGCAGCACTCAAACACACGTTGGGATTAGTTTACTCCGGCTCAAATTGAGTCGCATTCACTGCACGTGTAGACAGTGTCTCCCACACGCGTCCAGGAGCACACCGCTGCTTCCAGGACCGGTCCGAGCGGGCGTCGCACGCGGTGCAATCCAGCAGCATCGTCCCAGGGACACGCAACTTCCTCTCAAAGCACCGTGGCTTTCCACACGCGCCGCCTGGACACAGGGACACGACGGCTCCGGGGGGGGGTGCCAGGAGGCCTGCCGGGCCCAGCCCCCCTCCGGCCTCCCCGCGCCCCTCCGGCCTCCCCGCACCTGATATAGGGGCTGGCCGCCGCCAGGCAGCTCCTCTGCCC